TAAAGGTCACTTCCAACCCAAAGCATTCTATGGTTCTATGAAGTCTTTCATTTCATATTGACAATTTATACTAATGCTCATTTATGTTTTAAGCAAGGTAGGGTTTTGTTGTTTGTGGGTGAGTAGTTACTTGCTAAATTAACATGAGATTTTCATTAAGGAATATATATTTGGGAGATTCCAGAAACTACCTGTTTAGTGGAAGAAGAATCTTCCTTTAATATGCAGTGAATGCATATGGATGGTCTAACCAGATTTATGTAGAAGTTTTGGTTTTGGTCCACTAACTAATACTGTACCAGACTAACACTATAGAATTGTCAAGATATACTTCATATGCTTCTTCTGTATGTTTAGTAAGTGTTTTATAGTTTTAGTGATAGCTCTGTATTATGCTGTTAATTTAGCTTTAAAATATTTTAATTTTTTTTTTAACACTTTCTAAATTATCTAGCGTTTCTGTGCCAAGAAAAGATGTTCGGGAGATTAGTGAAAATTCACCAAAGCCTGATGCTTTGTTAAAACAAGGTAAAGATAACTTTCTATGAGAAAACACATGTATTTATGTACTTTCTTATGTAAAATGGACGAAATTTATGGTAGATTGGTTCATGACAAAAATGCTAAAATACAGGATCTTTTCCTATAGCATAATATATTGGAGAACACTTCTGAAAATCTAGAGGGGGGAAAAAAAACCCCAACCAAACCAAAACCCAATTGCTGGTCTATCCCTCACATTTCTCTCCTCCAAAAAACCCCCAAACCCCCCCCCCCCCCCCCCCACTTGTTTTAAATGTAGACATGCCAAACAAAGGATATAATCATACAGCTCATATTGGCTTTATAGGTTATTTAGTATTTGGCCTTTTGCATTAGACCTTCATAGAATTATTCTCACCATAGTACCTGTAGTAATTGTAAGTTGCCTTTATGCACTCTCAAGAAACTGGAATTGTGGATTCATTTGTGTGATCAAACTCTTGGAATTAACTGGTGCTTATTTCTTCCTCCTCCTCCTTCTGTATATGTTTAATATACATAAACCACAGTGTAAACCTGTTGGAATAGGTGTTCTATCAATTAAATTTTCATATATGACCTGATACAGAAGATCCTTATTTGTGTCTATAGACACGAACATGGTAATAAATCTAGTAATAGCTCTGAATAATTTGATGTGCAGAGAACACTTAAGCCAGTTTGGCTGAGTAAGACAAATAAGGATGGACAACATGGGATGGTTGTTGAGTTTCTTTGAATTTGGGGATGGAATTGTTAATTAGCAGTCTTTCCTTCTTCTCCCCTTTCTCCCCACCCCGACTACTTGTTTTTGATTAAAACATTTGGTCAAACTGATACTTCCTGCAGTGCTAACAAATGCTGGTCCTTTTACAGCTTTTGACCAAGCCCTTGAATTCCGTAAAAACAGAACTGTTCCTAGTAACTGGAAAACAGAATTGAAAGAAGACAGCTCCAGCAGTGAAGCTGAAGAGGAGGAAGAGGATGAAAAAGAAAAAGAGGATAACAGCAGTGAGGAAGAGGTAAGTGAAGTTAGTAAAGTGCATAGATACACAGCTGATAAAAATTAGCAAGACTGCAATATTAAAGTAGGTCTTTTTAACATTTGGGAACATTTAACATGTTAACAAACAACATTGTTAATATAGACAACATTATTGCCTGTCAGCTTTCAAAATCTTTGTTCAACAAAGATCAGTTAATGTGAAAATATCAACTTGAAAATCTAACATGTCTTTGAGTCATTAAGCAAAAAACATGTAGTCAAAAGGCTGAGTCATTAGGGACTAATGAAAAATAGGAATTAAAACTCAAAGGAATATCCTGCTTTAGAATATTTGCCGTGCTGGTTTTAATGCAGTGGCAGAAGGGTTTGCAGTACCTACTAGGGACTGAGCAGGATGAAGAAGGGTAGATATTGGAGTCTGCTGTCACATGTGTATTGTTTTTTCTGAAAGAAAAAAGGTTCCCTTTACTTGTGTGTACTTCTAAAAGGAACTTACCTGCTATCTGTTAAAGGTCTGGCTGTCTTCTAACTGGGAAGCTCTATGTAGCTAAAAAAATACTTGTTTCTGATAAAGGATGTGTGGTGCTTAAATTATTTTTGATAACTTTAAAACAAAGATCTCTTTCTGTTTTCTTTGAGAACATCAGCAATTATGTCTTGCATGTCAATCCAGACTGGCCTTTTCTTTGCACATGCTGTTCAGTATTGGAAGGCAAACGATTTTTTTTTTCACTGATGTAGAACTTTCAGGTTTTGTGGTCCAGATGGGTTTCCAGTTTGTAGTTCACTCTCCCTCCAAATAAACAGTTGTTTGCCCTTCTATAATGACGCAATGTGTTGTAGTGTGCAGTAGGGTGTAGTTTCCCTCCCTAGTTTGTCTTGCATCTGCTTTATTGTATAATGACAGTGTTGATTTATTTTTGCCTTTGTGGGCATGGAGTGAGTTCTGTGCATGCTAAAACCATGCTACTGTAAATAGCTGCTCACATAAATAATGATAAACTTTTCTCTTGGCTAGACCTGTTACCCCAGTACATACCCATGACTTAGCATACATTCCAAGCCACAGGGAAGTTTGCTACCTTTTACACAGGAGCTCCATCTGAGGGGGCAGCTCTAAACTGTTACTGACCTGCGTTCTTGACATATTTGAAAAATAAACAAACCTCGGCTGGCATGGCCCTGCTGTTGTCTCCTCCTCCCTCTGTCACCCTGTCCTCCTTCCCCTTCTACCTCAACCTTTCCTGCCCCTGAATTGCTATGCTAGGCCTACAGCTGTAGGTCTCTCATAAACTAGATATTGCAAGTAGTTTGCACTGTTCTTTCCCTGGTTCTAGCTGTAGAAAATGGAGTTTACTGTTTTTGGAGTGGTGGAAAGTGAGAGATTTTGAAACCTTTAGATAATTACTGAGAAATCTGAGGAGCTGTACCTGTCTCTTACCCTGGTCTGCTGAAGAATTGCTTCACTACAAGCTACCTCTCTGGCTATCCTGATGTGAAGAAGCAAAAGAGCTTTCAATCAAGGCATTAGCCCATGCACTCCTCTTCTGCCTTCCTTCTCTCTTTTGCCCTGGAAGTATGGGGTCCCAGCTCCTGCTTGGTGTTCTGATTGCCTGTTCTTTCCTCCCAGCCTCCTGTCCAGAAAAAGATGAAGACAAGAGGAAAGAAGGAAATTGGCTGAAAGAACTTTATTTCACAGCTGGCTGTGAGGCTGGAGGAGGGGATTTGAATCTTTTACTTCCTCTGTACCTTCTGGTGGTACTCAAAATCTCTATTTGCCAATTGTCACTTTTTCTCTCACTAGGGTTTGAGAGCTGTTCTCTAATTTGTTATGCAACTGCCAGTAATGCAGTAGACTGACATTCCCACCAATAGTGGAATTGTAAAGGAGAAACCGAACTGGTTTGGGTCTTAAATGGTTGTTATGGTCTTTCTCTCCATACATCCTCCCTGGAGACTGTGGCTCTGGCATACCCGAAGATGGTGTTCCATCTTTTAATCATGCATTTCTTTATTTTAAGATTCGTTGGGAGACTGCAAAGGTGTGAAATAAAAACTTTGCTACCTCTCCATGTTCATGAGTTCATTCTGCCTCTTCTTGAAGCTCACAGGAGATTATCCAGCTCTGATCAAAAGTTACAAAGCCCAGTTTGCAAGGGGCTATGCTCTGCTTAGTATTTTGAGAAGCAAGGAGTACTTCCTTGGGCTCAGCACAATTCCTGAACTTTCAGAGCAGGTTCATGTCCAGCTGTGGGCGTGATGAATGTAGATAGGTTTGTACCTATGCAGGTTGACATACAATCTTTATATAGTGATCATTCCCTCACTACTTTTAGGTGAAAAAATCAGTCTTTAGCTACAGCGTTTGTAAATATTTGACCTTGTACCCTTTGTACACCTTTTCTCTAGCTCCTCTTAGTTGCATGTGATGTGGTATGAGCTAGTCTTTCCATGTACTAGACATGAAGATCTCATCTCGGGCAAATATTTGGGGATTTACGGTGACATCTCTTGTTGATAACTTCTTCTCCAGTATCCAATGTTTCAGTCACCTGCTGAA